TAATAGTGACATATTACATGTATTGCTGTTTTTTAGGTCAATACGATGATTTAGCCACCTGAGGAGTACAACATTCACCGAGCCCTATTGACTAAATCATCGTGTTGACTGGAAAAAAAGCAATGATTGTTTTATCATATGAGTCAATGATTAAATGATACAAATTTGTTAAGCAAACCATGCCATCTTTCTTGATTGTTTACATTCCTTGAAGTCCTAGGCGAACAGAGTGAGAGAAATGGGATAAAAGTAGTTTTACCAGTTGCATTAATTTGGAATTTCTTGGTCTATTTTTGTTGCAATGTAGAAAAAATGTTAAGTTCATCTTGAAGTCAAATGGAGGTGAAATTACTATTCATAATCAATTATATTAATTTAACAGTTCTCTATTTTCTCCATTGTATAATAAAAATAAACGTTATGTTCACCTGGATGTTCAGGTGCAGGTGAATATAACGTAGTATGATTTCTACAATGTTGGATCTTAGCCAGTCACAGAGTTAGGAATTATTCAATCATATGATAATTCAAGTCCAAATGATAGCTTGAACACAACTCTACATTAGTAAATTAAACTGTGACCTATTTTACACGTACACATTAGGAAAGTTGCATATGTTCTTTGATGTTGATCTGAAAAAGAACAGCAGGATTAAGGCATCCTCACAACGTCAGGGGTCCTGAGTCAACACGTTGCTGTTGGACCCCTGATAAATTCCACTTGGTTTTATTTAGACTTGCTTTCTCATTGAGAAGCACCAATCAAATTGAAGTAGACAGATGATGTAAACAGAAAGGAATCAGTTGACACCCAAAATGCACATGTTACGCATTGTTCATCACCGAAAGACTTAATGTGATTGGTTAAGAAATACGAAAAACAATCAAGATTTGTAATTTTTCTTGAAAGACGTCGCTGCAGTCAGCCCGCAAGATATGGAATAAAATTTGCCAGGGGTCAAACGTGTTGACTCAGGACCCCTGACGTTGTGAGGATGGGGTTTAGGTCACTCAAGTGAGCGTTTTGGCCCATGGGATTCCTGTTATATTCCTCATTTGGCTAATTTACAGTAAGAAACAGAGTGATGTGGGGAATATATGTCTATGTATAGGATATTAATTAAATTATCGACGGCAAGAAATCATAGTTTGAAATTTTTGTCATTTCTTTGCACTTCCTGACAAACGTTTGTTTGATAAATAGATTTAATTAGACATGCTTTTTCCCACAATGCGAAGAATACAATAAATGTGGAGCAAGACTTACTGCAAGATTTGCTTTGAGAGATGAGGAATATGATAGACAATATGTCATGTTACATGAAATAAAAAGAACTATATGTTCATGACCTATTGATATATTGATATAATTTATTTGAAAATCAGATTTGTCTGGGAAAGGTATAAAGGAATGTCAGTTAAATAAAAAAAATTGATTTGTTGATATATATACATGTATATATATATATATATATATATATATATATATATATATATATATATATATATATATATATATATATATATATATATATATATATATATATATATATACGTTTGTATATTGTTTTATCAGAACTATCATTTTTCCTGTTTTTTCATGTTTGTTTCCATTTGATGTTTCTTAATGTTTCCCGAAAAAAGAACATTTTTTTCGTACGCCTTAAATAGACTTAATTTATGACAAATCCCCTTCGAAGTGTTTTCTACTAGTACAAAAATGAAAACAATAGGGAAAGGACAAGCTCTTTAAGAGCTTTAATTTCTGCAGTATACAGTCGTTATAAAGATCGATGCCCAGTGTAAAGCTTTTTGACTAGTAAATCTTATAGAATCCCTCAACCCTAACAGGTTTATTTTTCTTGTTGACGGTTCAAAGTCAGAAGTGGTGCCTAATGGTCCATTACCAGGTGGTTCCTTATGAAATCATGTAACTGTTATATAACAGGGACGTATATACTATATATAGAATATACATCCCTGCTGTTACGAATACACCTTCAAGGAGTCTGAAGATGGCGTCTTTCTCCACACTAGGAGTGACGGTTATCTCCTCAATCTGGCCAGACTCAGAGCCAAACACAAAGATATACGTAGAGTCCTCGTCAGGGAATTGCTGTTTGCAGATGATGCAGCCTTACCTGCCAACACTGAGGAAGCACTGCTGCGACTTTAATCTCAGTGAGATTCGTCGAGACTAAAAAATTTTGGACTGACGTCTGTCTAAAATTTTTAGTCTCGACGAATCTCGCTGAGATTACTGCGACTTATCACCCGATTTGACAATGCTTGTCCTGAGTTTGGACTCACCATCAGTCTGAAGAAAATAAACATCACGGAACAGGATGCTAGCACCATTCCCCAAAACACCATCGGTAGCCACATACTGGAGGTTGTTGAAAATTTTACCTACTACGGCTCAACCATCTCAAGCAAACTATCTCTTGATGTTGAAATAAACATAAGCAATAGTCTTGATAGCAAATGCAATGGCTCGACTTAAAAAGAGAGTTTGGGACAACATTATGCTGACAACAAGCACAAGAAGAAAGTGTACAGAGCCTGCGTCCTGAGTACATGCACCTTCTTCTATGGAAGTGAATCATGGACACTGTACTCCTGTCAAGAGTGCAGTGTCCAGGGCCTGAGTTGGTCGCGGCCCGAAGACCTTTAAGGAGGGAGGAATGTGGCGGTCTGACAGGTTCGATCGTCGGTGGCCAGATAGCTCAGTTGGTAGAGCACCTGACTGGAGATAGCAAAAGTAAAGCAGTAAATACAATTACAAAAGAGGACCATAAAGTGCAGTGGTCACCTAGGTCCCCTGGTCCTACTGTTCTTCGGAAGAAAAATTTTAAATTCCACATTGGACCTACCCTAACCCCAAGGGATTATGATTTAACTAAACTTGAATCCACACGAAATTGGGGTGCTTCAATATGACTAACATGGCCAGTAAGTACGTCCGTCCTTCCGTCCGTTACGCTTTGGGGTACCCATTTCTTATCCGCAACTCCTCTTCTACCACTGAATAAATTTTGATGAGACTTTCACAGAATCTTTGTTACATAGTGCCATTGTGCATCATCTATTTTACTTTTTTGATCGGACATATTTTTCGGGTTTCCTATAGCAAAACATAGACACTGCCATTCTTCTATAATACGGGGGGTACCCATCTCTTATCCGCAACTCCTCCTGTACTACCATCGAATAAAATTTAATGATTCTTTCACAGAATCTTTATAACATAGATCTTGTGTACCTCCTATTTTACTTTTTGATTCGACACATATTACGGGTTTCTCATAGCAAATATGGGCACTGCCATTCTTTCTTTAATATCAAGGGTACCCATTTCTTATCCGTTAAATAAACCACTGAATTTAATGATACTTTCACAGATTCATTACATAGTGCCATTGTGACCTCCTACTTTGTTTTGATGGGACAGATATTTGGGCTTTCCATTGGCAAAATGGACTTTGCCAAATTAATATAGTCATATGGGGGGGGGGGGGGGGAATCATTTGTGAGCTCAGTGCTCACAGTACCTCTTGCTTTAACTCAAAAAAATCTAACAGTTTACATATTTCCATAATTACAAAGTATATCATAATATGTCATTCACTTCTTTATTTTACATAAGCAATTTGGATCAATGCAAAAATACAATAAGTTGTGCTATTGTTAGATAGAGAATTACCACAAAGAGTGGTTCAAACACTACTAAAATTGTTTTGAGAGAAATATTGCGGGTAAACAGCACATGAATTTAACTACATTTAATTACATATAATTTATCTATTTTCAATCTTATAAAATTTGTATTAGTGTGTGTACTGTAGAGTACTATAATGCAAAACTATTATAATACTTGTATTATGACACAATTCTTTAAGTGTGTACCGACCTTTATTCTAAGAAAGTGTGTTTATGAATATAAAAGATTTATAATATATATTTAATATATTACATGTATGATACAAATCTTACAGTGTGTACCAGCCTTTATTCAAAGAAAGTGTGTATATGAATAATTTAGTGTGGCCCTGCAAATCCTAAAAAGTTTTTTTTTTATCGCTGTGTAAATCTGATCCCTAATTATGGCCCCATCCTACCTTCGGGGGCCATAAATTTAACAAATTTGAATCTCCACTACCTGAGGATGCTTGCATCTTCATGTGACTAATAATTAATGGCCCTTCTGTTTTAATCCCTTATAATTTTGATTTTATAAAATCTTCCCCTCTCTCTATGTTGATTTATATATACAGTGGGGTAGAATTTTTTATAAAATGTTTGTTTTAGGTGATTTTTCAAATTGATGGTATGAATCATATCACAAATATGTCATTGAAAGATAATTTATAAGAAAAAAGTCAAAAAGGGCTGGGGTCAATATTTGGAAGGGGGGGGGGGAGGTGTTGTCCTCAAGCACCTATAATCTCTTCGATTTATGTCATCATAGTTTTCAGCAACTCTTTGAGACATTACTATGTTGCAATTTCCACTCCAAAAGGCAATTAACTGTGACATAAATAGATTAATATCTTAATTAAAAAAACTGCAGTAATATGCAATAAATCTTTATTTTCAATTTCTCTTAATAATTCATGTAGTAAATTACAGTTTTTCATGTTGCATGTATTCTATTCAGATCTCATTCTTGACAATCACAACTCTATATGGTTATTTATATGGTTGTTTTCATCAATGATTCATGCATGTCTTGGTGAAACATGAAAACAATGGCAAAGGTTCAATGAATAATTTATGCTTAACTTACATATTGCGTAAATCACTAGTTTCAAGAACTGTTCTTCATTTAACATTTTGATATGTTTGGTAAATGCAGGCCCGTAGGAAGCAATTTCAGTTTGGGGGGGCACAGCCAAACATTTTTCAGTTGACAGTTGAGGGGGCACTACCAAAAATTTTCTGACAAGCAAAAAATATAGTATCTATGTTTACTATAGTAATCTATATATCAGCAAAATTATTGGGGGAGCACGGCCCCCCCGTGCCCCCCCGGTTCCTACGGCCATGAAATGTATCCCTGAGTCAATTGTAATTTACCATACATTCAATAGAAAAATTTTGTATCACCTAAAAAATATTATGGAATTCATAATTTTAGTATCCAGATTCAACAGAGCCCTTAGGACCATTTATTTACCTATGTAGATAATGATTTACTTGGAATTTTATCTATAGTATAATGGAACTTTCTTCTACATGCCCAAAGGTACCAATACAATAAGTGCACTTTCACTTTCATTATAACCAGACACATTCTATTACACTTGTACGTGGACACAAATATTCCCAGAATGCATCACTCTTGTTCCACTACTTTGAGGTGAATTTTAGCGGGTGCCACTTTGATGTCCTCCACATCTGAATCACTGCTAGAAGTATCCGAGTCACTAGTGTCATTATCGTAGGCACCAAGTCCGGGCAAAATGCCAATAATTTTAGCTGTCTGCAGACCTTGTGGATTTGATGATGGTGTCTTCTGATCTGAAGTTTCTGAATATATAAAATGACAATAGGAATTTTTCAATAAGAATATTAATTTTCTAAAGGTATCTTTTATAAAAAAAATCTTTATTGTCACTAGCAAGACAAACAGAATGGTATTCCTTTGTGTAGTACATGTATCTGTCATCTATGAAAGTTGGCAGTCTGTCTGGCTGGAGTTAATTAAATAGTTATCATTAATCTTTTTGATGCTTCATTCACAGAAATACTAATTTTAGTAAAATGCAACTTGTCTAAGGTCATGACAGATGAAGTTTCCCAAGCACATTCTTTTCTGTGTCTTTTTTTTTCTTATTTTTGTGAGCTCGAGTGAGGAAAAGGGAAGGGTTCACTGGTTTTAATTTTTATTTTAAATCTTTCTTTATAAAGAATATAAATGAATTTAACAGGTGGAAAGAAGTTGTGTTACAGAATGCACACCTACCTTCTGAAGAGAGTTTCCTCTTTTTGCTTTCTTCACTTGTTTCAACACTACAATAAAAATACAAACAGGCATATAAAAAAATAAAAGGATGAGAAACACTTAAACTATATTTGATCAAGTAGCATATTTAAATCAATTAAAAAAAACGACCTCTCAAAAAGCTTAACTGTCCTCTTAACATTCAATTTCCCACATGTTGGGCACAGGTCAACCCACCTTTTCCTCTTAACGACTCCGGCCAGTAATGCCTGTTGTGATTTTTTATTTGATGCTCCTCCTATCTGTTGTTTAACTGTTGGTTTCTTTTCCTCTTTTGGCCTGGAGTCATCTATTTTGTGCACATTTGCTTCTTGTTTTTGTCAAGGTTCTATAACCTTTATGTTATTAAATTGCACAAACAATATGCCTATAGTACCTTCTCTCCAATATCTAGAATTCTGTCCTTATGTTTACAGCTTCTACTGTTACCATTTCTTTCTTTTTTTTCATTTCTTTTTTCAAAAGGATAAACCAAACCTTTATCCCATCACTTTCTGGACTTACATTTTAAAAAAATCCATTCTGGTATAGCACTATTTTATTTTTCTTTATTTAATATCTACTCATAGAAATCCTGAATGCAAGGGGGAAAAATTAAAATTCAAAGGATTTTGAAACTTTTGTTCAAACAATTTATTAGGGGCTTGTATAAATTTTATATTATTGGTTGGTGCTTCAGTTTTTGTGCCAGAAATTAATATTAACATGTACTATCATTCTTTTTTCTTTATTTAATATCTACAAGTAGAAATCCTGGATGCAAGGCAAAAAAAAAAAAAAAAAAAAAAAATTAAAATTCAAAGGATTTTGAATCTTGTTCAAACAATTTATAGAGGCTTGTATAAATTTACATTATTGGTTAGTGCTTCAGTTTTTGTGCCTGAAATTAATTTTTAATAATTACATGTACTATCATTCTAAATTACACTTGAAGTGATTGATTTTAGATAGTTAACAATTCTGAGAACAGTTGTGGTATTATTTTTGATTGGAAAAGCCCAAGTACAAGCAGGTTCCATTCACTATAATCACTGAAATCTGTGTAACATGTGAGTGGGAGAAGGGTTCATTGAATATAGACAAACATAGTATCTATGCCCTGTTCCAAAGAAATTGCAAAAAATGATTAAATCTTATGAGTCAGATGCAACTAAATTAATAAACCTTTTTTACTGATATATGGGAGTTTACTCTATCATTTCAGTTGCATATTAGCAAATGCACTTTGAAAACGACCTTGGAACAAGTTTCTATAATGGCACAGGCAAATCAGCTCTTTTTCATTAAGTTAGAATTTAAGATCCTTTTTTAAAACACATTTTGACATATTCATCAATTACAAGAGCCCACTGTATGGCTCTTATCTGAAGTTTCATATTTTTTTTTTGTTTTTCATATATAAATATCCTTATTCATAAAAGGATATCTTAAGTTCCAGTATAATTCTAGCTTCCTCGCTGCTTCGAGCTTTTTCTATGGCAATCTGTCGATCTGACACATGGTCTAGAAATGCTACCTCATCCTCCTCTAGACCCTTTACACTGTTCTCTAGGAAGAAAGTAAAGAAGTTAAACATCATTGTTCATAGCCAGGAAGTCAGTGCAGATCTAACAATTCACAAAAGGAAATATCACAAAGAAAAGAAATACATGTACATGCACTACATGTAGCAGGCATTGATTTATTTTATGATGCATATGAAATGGATAACTGTATGATAGAGAAAAGCAGGAGTAAACATAAAATGCCACGTAAACTCACTCAGTGCAAATTGTTCCTCATATTCCTGGTCTTTCTTGTTTTTCTGTTCTTGAAGACGTTCATACAAAGATCTGTTGTCAATCACTTCCTCTGGACATTCTGGAACAGAATTAGTACTTGTTGACTTAGTACTGATCCCTAGGCACTATATTCACAATAATTTTAGAATTTTCATGACCGCATAGAGATTGTACCACTTAAGATTTTTAGACAACATGGTTGTGCTATATGAGCACTAGCATTCCCTGAGTAAGTACCAGTAAAGTCCCCAAACCCCCATCCCCCCACCCCACCCGCCATTCTTTTTAGTTAATTAGATAATCCTAATGACCAGATGGCCCCGTTACCTTCTGGATCATCAGGACCTCTCTTTTTGTCCCACTCTTCTTGTCTTTTCTTCCTTTTCTCTTCCAATGTATCCTGGCTGACAAACCTCGCAGACAAGTCCGAGGAAGACATCTCAACTTCTACCAAGTCTGCAAACAAAAAACAAATCATCTTGGAGTTTAACATTCAGCCTACAGTTTCACATGTTGTAGAGGAAATGAATCTTGCACCTGCAGGGATTTTCCACTCCATTTTGGGAATGAGGCCCAGGCCCTTGGAATTTGGAATTTAATGACATTTTATCACTTCTTGGGAAATTTTATTGCATGATGTTTTTTCAAGAAATAAACACTTATGATGAATAAAATTGATCTTTTACTTAATTATTCAGAACTGTAAATCAAAGAATAGATCAATTATAATAAAGTTTTAACCAAGTTTCTTTCAGATTTACCAGAACTTTGATCACAGTAACTTTGTGGGTTCATTTTTGGGATAAAGGGATGGATTTTGTAATTGGGAATGGTGCCTATATTCGGCCCTACATGGGGCGGTGGAAAATCCCTGCACCTTTAAATGGAATTCAAAATGCAGCTTAAACTGTCTCTTAAAATCTTGACAGAACAGACTAGGCCACTTAATTTAAATGGTATCATTTTAACATATTTCACACAATTTGGGGCACTCTCTTAATTAAAGATGTGTTCCAGCTTTTGATGGAGGAATATGGATGAATTCAAATTCATTTTGAAACTAATAATCACTCTCTAGCATGCAACTGTATAATTTAGTATATGCTTTTTATTTCTTGTGAGAGCTTTCAATATGATTATCTGTCAGATTTAGTTGTGCAAATGTGAAAAACAGTGAAGATTAATAAGTTTCGTGACACACAGGGCTCGAATCAAATTAATCAAGAACAGCAAATAGTTGTCATTCGAAAACTTCCGATTTCTCTCTGCATGATTATTAAATTATAGCAGCTTCACTTCTCTTCTGCGAGTGGCAATGTTTGTTCGAGCATTTTGAAAGTCATCCCCGTCATTTAAGTCCCAACATCGTTGATGATTTATAAGGAAGGTGGCAACAGAACACTGACTATGGTAAAATATTTTGCTACATTTACCAAAGGTGTCCCGAGAGATTGGGAAGATGACATATTTGGGAGCACATGATGCATTAATATAATTCTCTATACTGTCATTGAAGAATTGATAAATCGCTTATGGAAATGACCCTGACTGCTGTTTATTGATTCTTGACATGAACCCAAACTTTACCCAGTCATGAAATTGGAGAAAACTGGCTCATCTGATTCCCCTAATATGTCTCGATGGAGGATCACCAACAACCATCCATTAAACAGGGATATACTGATGCATGACTGATATAATGCAAATCTATGTCAGATACAAGGACTCGTATTACAATTGCATTACTCCGTAATTGGGCATGAAATAAGGATTGTTTGTGAAACATGTATAATAATTATTGAAGAATATTCCTCAGTTTCAATTGTAATACTTACAGATATAAGAAATTATATTTTTGAAAACTCAGAGGCTACTAAAGATATTACACTTATTCTATTCTAATTTGCAACCGGTTAAAAATATACCAGCTAATATAAAATTGCAATGAAAGAGGGAAACATCTTACATGACTATAGACACTATTGATTGCCCAGGGCAAGTAAAAAGTGAAACTATCAATGTACTTGTATAATTGAGCAAGTGAATATATCTGTTAAAAACAATACAAATCTTACTTATTTTAGTGATCAATTTAAAGAAAGATATAAAGTAAAGAAACTCATCATTTTAAATTCCTTGGGCCTATTGTTTTTTGTATAAAGGTAACCCTCAGAGGCATTTAATTCTTTCTACAGTGTGAGAATTAAGCAAGTCTAATTAATTAGTATTCAGTAATCATAATGTCTTTCAAATAGTAATTTTCAATTGATTTATACTCAACAGTTTTATGATTAAAAAGAAGAAATATGTCCAAAAGATATTAATGCCATGCCCAAGGTACATTTGTACTGCATCAGTAAACAATATGGTAAAAAAAATAGTAATGTACCTTCCATCTTTGGTCTGAGATTGATTAATCTTGTCTATTATCTACAGTTAAATAAGTCTCATTGTTTCAAGTTCATTATGTCATATATGTTTTTAGCAAATTTATTAATGATCTCTTAATTAAGTATGTATGATAAAAACGCTCTTACAGAAATTATTCATGTTATTGATGTATGGAGTTTTCTTAAGCAGTTCTTTAGAATTATAGATTTGAATATCATATAAGCAGAATTTTTAGTCAGGATGTAGTTTTGGCATTATTAGCTGTAGAGTTGATATTGTTAAAATCGAATATCACTTAAAATTCATTCTGTATTGAAGGTACATGTAAGTGTTACCTTTCTCAGCATCATAAATTCCTTAAAAATATATCACAATTTTAAGGACATATTACTAAATTTGTATCTCCTTAAAAATTCTACTTATACAATATACATTAAGATGAACTAAGAGCAACATGAGGAAAAAAAATTAAAGTCAAATGAGGAAAAAAAAAGTGAAATTCAATGTCACAAGGAAAGACAAGGTAAAAAAAAATCGAAAAATGAAAATAGCTTGAACATTTTGAAACTTACGTAATTGCAAAATAAAAAAAATAGTGAAGTAAAGTGCATTTAAAAATAAATATTGCTGGTATTTTAAAATGAAATTGTTGAATCCTAAATTATTTTTATTTTTCGACCATCCAATGCATTTTTTTGAGACAGAAAATCATAAACCAAAAAAAAAATAAAAACTTTGGCCTTAGAAACGTCAATGTAAGAAAAACAAGAGGGGGGGGGGGGGGGGGCTTGAATTTTAAACTACCTGATGATGCTTCCATATCAATATAACAAATGGTTTTGCTGTTCTTGAGTAGAAGATTTTTTCCTATATATTCATTTGTAAAAATTTGATCCCTCATTGTGGCCCCACCCTCCCCCTAGGGGCCCCAAATTTGATTCTACACTACTTGAGGATGCCTCCATATCAATATGACTAATCATGGCTTTTCTGTTCTTGAGAAAAAGATTTTTTTTTCCTATATATTGCTATGCAAAACTCCCACCCTCCCCTAGGGGTCATGATTCAAACAAACTGGAATATACACTACCTGAGGATGCTTCCATATAAATATGACCAATCATAGCTTTGCTGTTCTTGAGAAGAAGATTTTTGAAGATTTTTCCTATAAACTCCTATGTAAAACTTTGATCGTCCATTGTGGCCCCACCCTACCCCGGAGGGTCATTATTTGAACAAACTTGAATCAACACTACCTGAGGATACTTCCATATAAATAGCTTTGCTGCTCTTGAGAAGAAGAGTTTTTAAGAATTTTCCTATGTATTCCTATGTAAAACGTTGATTGTCCATTGTGGCCCCAACCTACACCCGGGGGTCATGATTTGAACAAACTTGAATCTACACCACCTGAGGATGCTTCCATATAAATATGACCGATCATGACTTTGCTGTTCTTGAGAAGAAGATTTTTCCTATATACTCCTATGTTAAATTTTGATCGCCCATTGTGGCCCCACCCTACCGGGCCAGGGGTCATTATTTGAACAAACTTGAATCTACACTACCTGAGGATGCTTCCATATAAATATGACCAATCATGGCCTTGCTGTTCTTAAGAAGAAGATTTTTAAAAGATATTTTCCCATATATTTCTATGTAAAACTTTGATCCCCCATTGTGGCCCCACCCTACCACCAGGGGTCATTATTTGAACAAACTTGAATCAACACTACCTGAGGATGCTTCCATATAAATATGACCAATTATAGCTTTGCTGCTCTTGAGAAGAAGAGTTTTTAAGAATTTTCCTATGTATTCCTATGTAAAACTTTAATTGCCCATTGTGGCCCCACCCTAACCCGGGGGTCATGATTTGAACAAACTTGAGTCTACACTACCTGAGGATGTATCCATATAAGTTTCATCTTTCCTGGCCCAGTGGTTCTTGAGAAGATTTTTAAATGATGCTATTATTTTTTCACTAATTCCTAATTATCTCCCCTTGAAAGAAGGTGTGGTCCTTCATTTGAACAAACTTGAATCCCCTTCACCAAAGGATACTTTGCGGCAAGTTTGGTTGAAATTGGCCCAGTGGTTCTTGAGAAGAAGTCGAAATGTGAAAAGTTTACAGACAGACAGACGGACAGCTAGACAGACAGACGGACGCCGGACAAAATGTGATCAGACACAGCTGAATCCTTATATATGTAATTTTATTAAAAAATCTTCAAAATTGAAGTTCAAGATCATGCTAAGGTCAAGGACAGAAAATTATTACATAGTTGAATAGCTCTTACCAATTTGTATTAGTGTACATAGTGTATGAAATTTGATAAAATGTTATGAACACTTTCTTCTCAGCTAAGCTGAACAGAAAATAGGGAACAGTGAAGTCAAGGTCATAAGGAAAGGCCAAGGGCAATTTTTTTGAAACTGTGAAATAGCTCTAATCAAATTGTTTCTTTGTATGAAAAGTGATGAAAATATCTAGAACAATTTCTTTTAAACAGAGATAAATGTAAAATGATGTCAAGGTCATAGGAAAAGACAAGGTCAGAATATTATGAAACAGTTGAATTGCTCTTATCAATTTGTATCTTTGTATAAAGTTAACTGTTTGATGAAAATATCTTAAACAGTCTATCACTAAGATAAATGCAAAATGACAAATAGTGGGGTCAAAGTCATAGAGAACAGAAAAATATGACTTAACTAGAGCCGAGCTCGTTGCAATGCAACGAATAGGTCTTCCGTCGGAGCTCCGGACAGGACAGAGCGACCTTGAGTCAAGGTCATGCAACATTTTAAGGTTATAAACAATCCTGTAAGGGGCATCAACTTTCAATGTTTCAACAGTAGAAAGACAGTAAAGGAATGTAAAATTCCCCTGTCAGTGAACTTGAACTGTCCAAATAACTTTGCGTCAAGCCATGACACATTCTGCAGCTGGTTAAGAGCAAACACCATCTTTATGTCACCGACATAAAAAAAAAATCACAGTCACGTATTCTTTCAGACTATTCATCCAAAACATCATATTCTAAGTGACCTCGAATTTAAGTCAAGGCC